ATATTTTTTTTTTTTACAGCAAAATCCTTCAGCAACGCTGCAGCCATGTTCTGAATTCCTTGTTTTCCAGCCACTGTTGTTGAAATTTTCATTTTTCTCATTCTCTAACCTTTTCTCCACTTTGAGCTTCTTTTCCGAGCATACGGCTTTACGATCAACCGGAGGCTGTTCCTCGCTTATGTTGCAATATAACATATCTGATGAAATTGTCTTTATAAACTTATTTAAAAAATAAAGCATCTTAAATGCCACGATAATCATATTTTCAGACTTTTAATGCCAATTAAGGCCTTAATTGAAATAATTTAAGTACTTTTATTAACCCGCAGAAACTGTATAATGACCCAAAAGAAAGGGGTCATACCGCAATAGATCAGTTGACTACGACGCTACAGCCATGCATTTCTACTTGGAGATGTCGCTGTCACTGCTCCACAGAAAGCCATAATTAATTGTTTAATTCTCTTTCTCCTCCGTCTACATTTCCAATTTGTCTGCTGTATTTTTTGTCTACTTTGACTTTTTAACCAGCTTTAAATCCATTCATAGACACTGACTTCTAACACGTCTTGTTGTTCTTGTTCTGCGCATGCGGGTCACCTCTACTTTGAGCGTGGTTTAACGTGACTTGAGCATTAAGACCTATACAGTAAATGATGCCTCTTTAAAGCCCGGCGTAGACTGTGCGATTTTTTCAATTGTTGCACACATCTACTGCTCACACTGTACGACTAAACCGCTGGGTTTGGTTGTACAGTGTGAGTTAAAATAGCTCCCGATTTATGTTCGCCCTGACGCTCTGATGCGATCTACCTGCTCACACTGTACGTCTAAAAACCACGTCAGACTCAGCTCCGCAGTGAGATGGCGCTGCACTGACTCGTCTATCTGGAAGCCAAACAAATAGAAGGGGAATATGAAGCTCACTAGAGTGAAACGTGCTGCCTTGGCAATTTGTACAATTTTGTGCTGAAAGCCCAAAAAAGAAAAGGCGACGACATATTTGGACAAAGACATGGCTGAGCAAACATGGCTACTACGGTCTGTCAATTTTACAGAAAGAACTGCATTTCACTCATTGCACCCCTGCCATGCTGCTGTGTTTACATCTGAGAGGAGGAAGAAAAAGATGAATTGCCTACTGAGCAATTTGCCGAAATCCCGACCTTACAATTTCTGATTGGGAGGTGGTCGTGAGAGGCTGATTTACCCTCTTTACCCCCTGTACACTTCACGACTCACGATCAGGCTGAAAGTCGGCCCGAACGAAAACTGAAAATCACACAGTGTAGGCCTGGCTTAAGCTGTAGAATGAGTTGTGTTTAGCAAGCAGAAAAGCATAAAGCTGTTGCATTATGGGTAATTCTGGCACTGAAAGTAACCCATTCTAAAGTCCCGCCTACCGCGTCGTGATTAGTCTCGTCAGGAGTAAACGGCAGTTTACCAAACTAGCAGATTAAAGCTCCTCAATACACAGCATGATAGGGGTGGAACGGTTCACAAAATCCACGGTTCGGTTCACGGTTTCATGGTCACGCTTTTCGGTTCGGTATATGTTGATTGTTAGCCTGACATGTTGGTCATGTTACTGTTAGCATAAACAAAATTTGTTGCACAATGCTTGCACACTCTTGCACTTTTATCCACAACTTTCTTTCTGCCGTCATCGTAGGTCACTCTAAATGTAAAGTGGTCCCATACAGCAGACCACAATTCTCCACAACAACTGATTTTTTATGCTACACCCGGCTACGCTGCTTAGCTTCTTCTTCTTGTTTACTACTGGTGATTGGCTTTGGTCGCAGTACCGCCACCTTCTGCTCTGGAGTGTAATCGCTTCACCTATGAGAAAAAGGAGCAGCGCATGAACCAAACACAATACACACGAACCGAACCAAGACAGTCGAACCGAACGGTTCGGACAGTTTTCATAAATCGTTCCATCCCTACAGCATGAGATCCTCATCTAGAGCAGATACTGAAAACCAACAAGGTAATTTATGCAGCAGATTATGGTTATTTTCAGACATCAACTAACAGAGACCAACTCTCCAGGCAGCACTACTTTAATGCACATTAGTAGGTCTGTGCCTAAAAATCTATTGTTCTTAAAGACAATCTAATATCAATATTCTGGCTTTCAATATCGATATACCTCCCAAACCCAGGGGGGCATCATTACAGTGTGCCATTTCTGTTCACAGCGAAGTGCAGGTGAGACGTATTTGCTGAATGGCCGACAGCATTATTAGAAGCACCTTTTAGAAGCGCCTTCGTCCCTAAAATCAGACATTTGGGCAAATTCAGGTTTTAAAGCCAATGAAAAGAGCAAAGGACTTGACAAAACAAATGCAAAATGCAGGAACTCTGATGGTGCAGTACGTTATACTTGAAAAACGACCAACTTGCGGGCTCACCTACAGAGGCACCATGTTGATAAGCTAGCAGCACCAAATATGCAACAGAAATCTGTAGACCTGCAAATGACTCTGGACAACACTTATATATATAAATGAATATACATGTGCTCTTTCAATGCAGTTTTCTCATTCAACATAGACATTAGCCTTACCACGGATATAAATAAAGCATGCTGTTGTCTGCATATAGCTTCACTTCAGCTATTTACATAGCCTTCCGACCACTGAAATAAATAACAGAAACTCAATTATGATGACTAAGCCGTTCCAAATGTGCTGTAAAACGAACCTATAAAATACATTATAACAACTGCCAGCAGAAAAGCTAACTTTAATTTCTGCAGTCCTGTCTGCAAGCATGGATGAGCTCATTTAGGTTCACAAAACTCTAAAAGACATCCAACTGGGGAGGGAATATGATCACAATTCAGCTTAGCGAACAGCAAAATGAATGACTGGCATAACTTTAAAAAATGCTTAACGCACTTGAAAAATTGTAGGTAGACGTAAATACCTCATGACTGATCAGTACAGGTTCTTTCCTTGAGCACAAATCTTACACAAGATTGAATTCTTCTACTGAACAAAGAACTAATGGATGACACATAAAAGACAAATAATCCAAAATGACTCAGCAACAGGCTGATGCACTATACTGCATTACTAAACATAAAAGAAAGGCAGAAATGTGGACCTGCGACCTAAACCCGTTTTTTTCTGCTCACAATTATCTTTAACCACAAAACAGGTGATTAAAAAAACAGAGCTGAGCTCACCAGAGCGATATTTTCAATGCGCTACAAGAAAAAGGAAGTTCAAGTCCTAGTCAATAATTCATGCTATGTCAATGTGTCAGCGTATGATAACATAACAGACTGGCACGTTCCTTCTGATGAATCCAAAAAAGGAAACTTAAGCATCATGTTAGTGCTGACTGAAAGAGGGGCCTTTTATCTGGGGTCAACATGCGCAAACACGAAGTTGGAAGACAGCTTCTTGTCTGCTGTAAAAGGTTGGACTGATAAGAAGAGTAGGGGCTTCTGTGCAACTGAATACTCACTTTGTGTGCAGTAGACATGGGCCGACGACCAGTTTTAAAGAGAATGCCAAGGTTTTAAAAAGTTACATTATCAAAACTGTTAATATGTTTGAATAAGCCACCAGAAACTTAAAACTAAATCCATCTGTGAATGTGTGATTTATAACTATAGAATCCAGGTTTTCACAGCTTTTTTTTTACAGTGTTGGACATAAATATCCAAGCCCAAAATACTGTATGCAGTATAATAATCAACCTACATGGCAGTGGTACCCATTAACGTGATTTTCATGTGTTTGTCATATAAGATTAGGTTTTGACAAAGAAATTTTGCAACCATGCTGCATTATTATAGAAAATCTCTTGGCTTCATGTCTAAATCTACTAGAAAGCAATATATGGGCTAGTGCTAAAGGGTAACACATGGCAATATGTCATCATGAGGAGAGAAATAAAGTGAGTCTAAGAACTACCAAGCAACCACCTGCAAGATTTATGGAGATTATGAATGCCCTCTGTATAACCATGTTCATTACAGGTTTGTATGATTACCACTATGACTCTCTAGTTGTCATAGTGCATGTTTGGATTACTTTTCCACCTGTGACATGTATCCTGGCCTAAAATTATACATTCCAGTTTAAAATAAATAAATACACCCATCTCAGAATTTGATCAAATGTCTCTAAGGTAGTTGTACTTAAAGCACATCCCCTTTTTTCCCCCAACAAGTTATCTGGCAAATATTCTCGATATGAACTACCACTTGTCTTTGCAGAATTGGTTCAGCTTAAATAAAGTCCTCTAATGGGCTCTGTTTTAAAGCATCAACCTAAAATGTCTCCCAATAAGCCTTACATTTGTCGTTATACACAAATATAATCAATTCCAATCTGTTGTGTCTACACTTTCACCACTGAAATAAAAAATCAAAATATAGATAAGTATTTTTTTCTTAAAATAAGTGCATTTTATTGTTAATTGAGGAGGTAAGACAATTTACATTTTAAATAAGAAAAAAAAATTGAATTGTCTTATTTTAAGTGTATATTATCTAACTACCTTATTTTAAGAGTAAAAATCCTCATTCCGTGAGGACTTACCTGTTCAAATTAAGGGTAAATACACTTAATTTAAGAAATTTTGACTTATTTCCACATTGTTTTTGCAGCATAGCTATAGATTCAAGGTGAATCAAGCTTGCACCAAATATGTGCAAATGAACCAGTTCCTCAGTGGAAATGAAGCAAGATTTCCCACATGATGATGCTGCCACCACCATGCTGGACAGCTGGTAGGAGTCTAACAGAAACAGTAAGTCCACAAAATAGAAAAAATAGGCTTAATTGACAATCAAAAGAACGATGAAGACTAAAACTAGTGTAATTATATGTGAAAAAATTCAATATGTTTAGAAAACTACCTGAAAGATTCCTGCAAATTACTAATGCACTTGTTGGGAAATTCCTCATGACAAGTGTGATCCCCAGTGTGAAAGTAGGATTGAAAGATGTGGGGTTTTATTTTTATTTTTTCTTTACCTGTGACAGCTGTCTTGGATCAGGAGCCCCGAATAGGGAAGAGCTGGAGCTGAAACTAATGGCTCCCCTCCGGCTGAGGACATGCTTGGGAACCGGCCTGTCTAGAGGCAAAACCGGCAACTGATAACATACTTCCATTGAACAGTCAGGGCTGAATCCGGATCCGAAATATAAAAAGAAAAAAAATATATATTACATGTAAAAAAAAAATAATAATGGATGGAGGGATTAGAAAAATCCCAAAAGAAGAAAAACGAAAGGAAATAGCTCTCAGAATGGTGAAAACGATCTGACACGAAGCTGTAAAGTGTTTCTGTTCATTATGAGCGACTCAAAACTTGTCCAGATCGCCTTCCTTCATCGCCGTTTTACCTCCCTCGGTGTCATTCTGTGAGAAACTATTCACGCTGCTGCTGCCGTTGCATTCATCGCCCCTTTCTTTCTCATTCTGCTTAAATCCGGGCCCACGGACGACGAGACCTTCTTGCCATTTTCTGGGTCTTTATGAAATCGCTTCCTCATTTTTTCAAAGCGGAGCAAAAAACGTCCGTTTGCCTGGACTCCGCGGCGTCCCCGAGGATCCGCATAATGCAAACCCCGACACGAAAAACAAAAGCGCTTCCAGAAAATATCATCAACATATCATTTTTCTGCTGCCAACACCGGGTGCAGGGAGAACGGAGGATGGGGGGGATCCTGGCGGCGGTCGGGGAGGGCTCCTCTTTCATTCAGGACTCGGTCGGTGGTGAAGTATGTTCAACATGTAGGGGCTTTTCCGTCTTTTGAGCTGAATGATGAAGGAGTAGTTGTCCAAATTTTACCGTAAAGCAAAGTGTCTGGCTCAGAGAGAAAGAGAGAGGGGAACCCCAACGTTCGCCTCATTCACCGCCGCTCCGCTGGGGTCCGCGTCGACTTAAATTGTACAAACATGAAGGCATTAAAAAAAGTAATAATAATTAAAAGCTAAAGAAAGCAGAATTCTATATCTCTACCTGCCTATCGCCCTAAAAAATTAACCTACTGAGTGATTTTAGAGCACACAACACCTGCCAGAGATGGTGCTGTTGGAGCAAGCAACCCCCCAAAAAACGCCCTTGTCTACGGTTAGCCAATGGCGTGAAGGCAGTGTTTGTAAACTGCGCTGTGATTGGGTGAGGATTTTTATTGCGCATGTAATGACAAACGTGAGTGGCTGTGAAGCCAGGGCGATCCCTAGATTTATATGAGCAGTCATTTGCAGACGGCGTGGACTTTCTCAAGGGTATTCCTGCACAATGGGGCTTGCCCTGCAGCGGTCCACATCATTGCCTGTGATTACCTTTCTCCCATGAGTCATACTACTTTGGAGCTGGTTGAAACACACAGCGCAGCGAACGTTTAAAAAATGTTGCATCTCTGAAATGACATGTTTCTGCACTGTGGTGACTTAAAAGTCGTTTTATGTTTAATTTGTCATATGTAATTCTTTGCTATCAGGAAGTCATCAAACTAGTTAAAAGCGTTCAGCTGATCCAAAATGCTGCAGCCAGAGTTGAGATGAAAATTAAAAAGAGATCATATCTCTCCTATCCTAGCTTCTCTTCGTTGGCTTCTGTTAAATCCATAATATTATTTAAAATCCTAGTTCTCACATATAAAGCCTTAAATGGCCAAGCTTTATCTTATATTAGAGATATGATTATTCCTTATGTTTCTAACAGAGCACTTCGCTCTCAATCTGCAGGTTTACTAGTGGTTTCTAGAATTTCTAAAAGTAGAATGGGAGGCAGATCTTTTAGTTATCAGGTTCCTCTCCTGCAGACACCCTGTCTACTTTTAAGGGTAGCCTTAAAACTTTCCTTTTCGATAAAGCTTATAGTTAGAGAAGCTCAGGTTACATGAGCTTTGTGAGCTATATCTCTATTTATGCTGCTATAGGCTTAGACTGCTGGAGGACATAGGGACCCCTTTTTCATCATTTTGCTTCTTTCTATCTCTATTCTCCCACTCTTCAGAATCTGTTAGTTCAGTCTTTAACACAATGCGCACTCTGCTTTTTCTCATAGTAGCTTAATTTGGTTTGTTCCTGTTTGGCTGTGACAACATCCTGGAGAGAAACAACAGCTGTACTGCTGCTGTTATCAACACATTTGTTTATAGAAGTTTGAGCTCTGCCTGTTTTTCACTGTAGTCTTCTTTTTCTGACTGTGACTAGCTGGATGTGCTGTTTTCATCCTCTAACATGGGAGCTGGCTTGGAGCTCATCTGCCTATCTGTGTGTTTCCTGGACTGGGCCGCCCGTGGAGTTGGTTGACAGTTGCCATTTGTATCCCTGCTTCTTTTTCTATGTCTGCTTCTGTCTCCTTGAACCCCAGTCGGCCTCAGCAGATGGCCACTCACACTAAGTCTAGTTCTGCTGTAGGTGTCTTCCTGCTAAAAGTATTTTTTTCTTCTTCTCCACTGTTACTACAAGCATGTTTAGTGTGACGGATTGCCTTTCAATGCAAGTCGAAATCAACTGGTTTTCCTTAGATAAAAAACTTTGCATCGAAATGACTTTATGATCCTTGAGATGACAGGTGTTTTGAATTGGTGCTATATAGATAAACTGGATATTGAATTGAATTTGTCAGGATTATTACTGTACACTAGATGTGGATCAGTTAACTTTACAGTGCCCACCAAAAGTATTCCCACTGCAGTCACATTTTAATAAAAAAAAATGTCAAGGCATTTTATATGCCCTTTTATGTTCTAGAACAACACAAGTGCATAACTGTATAGCCCCACAGGATAATACCATCTCTTCCATGTTCTAAAGAGAGTTTGGGGTGTAGGCTAAAAAGTCAAACTTGGTTCTTATCTGGCCGGAGCACCTTATTCCTCACTTGCTGTGTCCTCTATGATGGCTCATGTCAAACTACAAACTCAATTTCTGTGGCTTTTTTCCATAAATGGCTTAAATTTTACCGCTTTCATGTTAAAGTCAGATTCATGCAGTCCAAAACTAAAAGCCGTGCTGTTCACAGATTTTTCTACCTGAGCTCAAGATCTCTACAGCCCTTCCAGGGTTTCCATAAGCCTGTTAAGGACTTATTTGACGGATGTCCTCAATACTCTTTTCAGATGTTGAATTAAACAATGCTCCTGAAGAGCTTTAAAGCTAGGGATTTCATGTTATTAACTTATCTCAATTTTAAACCTTTCTTCAACCTATTCCCTACTCTGCTCCTTGGTTTTACTGTTGTTTGTTCTAAAATTTTCTCCAGTAAACCCCAATGACCTTCGCAAAACAGTTGGATTTATTCTAAAATGAAATTAAACATAAGATGACTATTTTTTTGGCTTATTATCTCACATAATTGATGTGTCTTATAAACCAAGAGATTCCACCGGATTTAATTTCTGAGTATCACAGTAAAATGGACCAAAACTTAAGCACACTACACTTCTCATTTTTCTGTCTGTTAAAAGCATATACTAGAGTGACTTAAGAGACAGAGCAAGGGCCTTTTTTACCATGTTCACCCTGAGGGAGAAATAATGTTTTTAACACCTGACTGAGGGGTGCTGACTGACCCCACCAGATGGGGGATGAAATGCAAACAGAGATAAGATTCACTTATTATTCAACCTAATTAGTCCAGTGTGTGTTTTAAACTTCAACCTGAAATTATACAAAAAAAATAAATCACAAAAAACTCCACAGTTAGCAGGTCTTAAAGCAAAATGTTATTACCTGTGTAAAGGTTTTGATGTTAACATGCTTGTTTTATTTTTGATAGAACAAAGAGAATCTGAAATTCTTTTATTCTTGCAATGAGATGGGTGGAAACCAGGTCTGCAGCTTTTACACTTGTAGGGATTTTTTTGGGGAACATATTAAGCTTGAAATAATAAATAATTGAACTTTATTCATCGCACATTGGAGAAATTTACCTCTATATTTAACCCATCTCATTGGGGGACAGTGAGCTGCCATTGTGTGGCGTCTGAGGGAGCCATGTGGGGTTAAGGGTCTTGTTCAGAGAGCCAGAGTGGCAGGCTGTGGGAAAGGGGCTCGAACTCAGAACCTCAGGGTTCCAAGTTATATGCTCTAACCACTAGGCCGCCACTCCAAACACCACAAAATGTGTCATCTAATAGTACATCTGTTTTTTCCAACAGTTTTTATAATCTGTTGTTTGTAGTGCTATGGGATAAATCATACTATGTCTACAGATGTTTATATTTGCATACTGTAGGTGCTAAAATGCCGTCATTTGGCCGTGTGGACCTTGTGGATTTTCAAGCATAAAACAGGGTTACGTAGCCTAAACCGCCAGGAGGAGGTTGGGATTACGTACCCCTCCTATGTTGACAACCTCTTCTACGTATTACCCATTACTCTTATTGAGGTAATGTTTTGAAATAAGAGCTAAAAAAAAAAAAAAAAAACAATGAGTGGTTTTTCATTTTATACTTTCCCATCTGATTTTAAGAACTCTCAATCATCTGCACGAAAAAAGCTGGTAAAAGATGCAACCAGAATCATTTAAGAATCATCTAAAAAAAATCGTGTAAGATTTCTGGTGACTACAGATATGTGGTTTACCTGTAAGTTGCATTAGAATACATATAAAAAAATATTATAAATATTTGTGGTTATTTGATGTATTTATATACCATACCATACCATACCAACTTTATTTATGAAGCACTTTATACACCGAACAGGACCAAAGTGCTGTACACAATCATAAAATATAATAAAATTATAAAATAGAGAAAAAAAACGAGTGTAAAATACATATTAGTATACAAAAAGAATAAAACAAAGTAGCCAGGAAAAAAAAGGAAAAAAAAAAGCCAAGGAAAAGAAGATGAGTCTTAAGAAGGGACTTAAAAACAGCAAGAGAAGAGGCCTGTCTTATGCTCAGAGGCAGATCATTCCACAGCTTAGGAGCTGCCACAGAAAAAGCACGGTCTCCTCTGAGCTTGCATTTTGTCTTTGGGACCCTCAGAAGCAACTGATCAGCTGACCTGAGGGAACGGGAGGGTGTATAAGAATGTAACAGCTCAGGCAGATAAGAAGGAGCAAGGCCATTAAGAGTTTTAAAAACAAATAAAAGAATTTTAAAATTAATCCTAAAATGTACTGGCAGCCAGTGTAAGGAAGCTAAAACAGGGGAAATGTGGTCGAAATTTTCGTGTACCTGTTAAAAGACGTGCAGCAGCATTTTGAACCCTCTGAAGATGAGAAATATACAAGTCACTGACCCCTGTATAAAGTGAGTTACAGTAATCCAGCCGTGTGGTCACAAATGCATGGATCACTGTTTCGAAATGCTGTCTGGAAAGAATGGGTTTTACTTTTGCTAGCTGCCTTAAGTGGAAAAAGCTGGACTTTATAACGGCTCTGATGTGCGCTTCCATTTTAAGACCAGCATCCATCTTAACCCCTAAATTTGTAATAACCGGCTTAACGTACTGAGCCAAGGAGCCAAGACTAGTCACGGAATCAGCAGTGGATCTGCCAAAGATCATTACGTCCGTCTTGTCCTCATTGAGTTTTACAAAATTTAGGGCCACCAAAGCCTTCACATCTTCAAGACATAAAAACAGAGACCGAAGAGAGGTGGAGTTTACATTCTTTAGCGGTAAGTATATCTGTGTGTCATCTGCATAGCAGTGAAAGGCAATCCCATGTTTTCTGAAAATAGAGCCGAGCGGAAGAAGGTAAAGTGAGAAAAGGAGCGGGCCTAGAACTGAGCCCTGTGGGACACCACACAACAGTGGAGCAGAGGGGGACCTATGGCCATCAAGACAGACACAAAGAGTACGTTCAGCCAAATATGATCTAAACCAATCTAGAGCTATGTGACCGACGCCCACCCACTGTTCCAGACAGGAAAGTAAAATGACATGATCAACTGTGTCAAAAGCAGATGATAAAGCCAACAGCACCAAAACAACAACGTCACCTGAATCAGTTGCTAAAAGTATATCATTAAAAACTTTAAAAAAGGGCTGACTCTGTGCTATGAAATGGTTTAAAACCGGACTGAAAAACCTCTAATATATTATGTTCATTAAGATAGGCCATTAGCTGA